GTTACCACAGGACGGTGTGCTGGTTCCCAGTATAAGTCCTCTTGGCTCGGCTGTGATGCTCCGTGGTTTGTCAGATGCTGGGCTGGGGCTCCTGCAGGGCTGCCCCTCCCGCTGTGACGCTCCCAAGGCCAGACACAGCCCATCTCTCTGCCCACACCCTCTAAATAATCCCTCACCCGTCCCCCAGCCGGCACATCACTGCTGGGCTTGGCAGCCTGTGTCCCGGGGAGCTGCGGGCCACGGCCGGGCTCCGGAGCCCCTGCCCCTGCGGTTTCTAGCAACTTTCCTGGGACGGCATTGCAGGGACTCTTGCCCTCTGAAGGGCACTGATTTGTTTGCGCCTAAGTGTAGGCTCAGCCCAGAGAGAAGTGCCATCATGCCCGAGGGCCTAGAGCCAGCGAGGGTGGGTGGCTCAGACCCCAGCGTACCAGAGCAGTGTCCCTGGCCTTCCTGCAGCTGCTGGGCAAGGAGGGGAGTGTGTGTGTCCACTGGGCCCATCAGAGCCCCCCACCCAAGCTCAGAGCTCTGGCATCAAGTCAGGTACCTGGCTTCATGCGGTGCTACCCTAGTCTTGCATGTGGGTAGGTCAAGGCTGGCAGGGTGGCTTCTAGGGCCCAGGCCAGGACCACACCCCTACTCGCCTCCTTGGGTCCATGCAGCCTCCCCTTGTCTGAGCTGGGGAGAGAGGGGAAGCGTAACCCCCACTCCCTGTCCCACCCCAGATGGGAGGGTCGTCACGCTGAGTAAGAAGGTGATGACTGAGGAAGGGGCCACCAGGTGACTTCACAAGAGGCCGATGCCCTGTGAGGGGCCGCCTCCCCCATCAGCTGACGATGATTATACAAGGGCCACAGCGCATCACAGCAGGGATGGGGGACATCTCTGATGCTCAGCCATGTGAGACCAGGGGGCAGGGGCCGAGTCCTCCTTCCCGAGAGCCTCTCCTCTGTTGCTCCGCCTTGCTCGGAGTCCACCCCCCCCTCTGAAAGAAGAGGGTATGTCCCCACTTTTCACGCCATGCCCCCTTCTCCAGCCACCTCTGAGGGACCCTTACTCTCAGGGACTGGGCAGTCAAGTCTTTAGGACTCAAAGCCATGACCACAGACACACCAGTATCACGGCCACCCCACCAGGCGGCCCCTCTCTGCACCCTCCCCCAGGGTACCTGCCCCTGCAGGGTGCTGAGTGAGGCCCTCGGTGCCCCTTGGTGCGGGGCAGAGGGCACATAGGCTGAGACTCCCCATGAGAATAATGCTGGCTTAGGGAGAGCATGGTTGGACCCCAAGGGCCTGGGTTGGGGTTTTCAGGGGCTGGACAGGGCCCCGCTCTGGGGATCCCTGTGATAAAAGTGGCTGGTGCTGAGCATGGTGCAGGGAGAGCCAAGTCTTGCTCCCGAATTGTCCTGAGAGTCCCAAAGCCACAGAGCGGCGAGGAGAAGAACCAGGCAGCCTCCTAGTTCTCCCTTGGAGCGGCGGGTAGAACGGAACTGCTGTCTCTGTGCTGCCTGCCCCTAATCACCTAGTCGTTGACACACACGGAACAATCCAGAGAACACTGGACAGAAGCAGCACCGGGCACGCCTGCCATCCTTAAATAGATTTATGGAAATGGCTCCAAATTACAGCATTTAGAAAATAAAGATAATATCAAATACAGAATACCATTCACTCTGTGACGTCCCCTCCCTCTCCTGACCCGCTATGGAGGCACCTGGAGATTTCCCTTATAAAAGCAGCGTCAGGTCCGCCCTCTCTCTGAAAGTAAAACCGCAGTCATCCTTGCCAAACGAAGCCTGAGATTGAAGCCTGAGGAGGGGTCTGCACCGGGGCTGCCAGCGCCTTGGCCTGGCGCGGCCCATGGGCTCTGAAGACAGTCCTGGGCACAGGG